CATGATATGCCATGTTCTGACTGAGAAATTTCTGAAAAAATTAAAGTACAGCTCTGCTATCACTTCCACCATAAATGAAAACTAAAAACTAACAGCCACGTTAGCATAACATTAGCACAGTGAAGCTGAAGGATGGCCGCTAACATTTTTCCACTCGATAAAAGTTAACGTGAGGGTTTCTTGTGGTTAGGGACAAATGCAATTGCATGGCAGGATGCTATAAATGGACCAAACAGTCAGGAGAACAACTGAGATAATCCATCCACAATATGAGGTTAGTCAGTAATATACTGCAACAACATGGGAATAGAGCAGCTGCGAGAGAATTCAGCATTAATGAATCAATGGTAGGGAAGTGGAGGAAGCACAGTTTTTGGCTTTCCCCATCTTCCAAAAGTGCTTCGTCTAATTGCTATTACTGTTGCCCGGCATAATTTGCAGATGATGTTGTTTGCAGCTGCTGCAATACCAAAATAGGCGCAGCTTGATGACACCATCAACATGCGCTGTCGCGGTAGAGCGGTATAGTCAAAATCTCTACCGTTGGCCAAATTTATATCGTTTCTACCGTGTACCGTTTATACCGCCCACCCCTAATTTAGTGTTTGTGTTATTAGGAGTGCTAAACAAGAAGAGTTCCCAGATGGTACAGTGGACACATGTGTGACTCCTGTGATTAAAGCAGCTTTCTTTCAGCTTAATAGTGAACCGTCAGCTCGTTCAAACAAACGTTAAAGTCCGAACAGAACACCACCAGAGGCAGCAGTATAACATAGCTAACATTAACAGTATAGTGAATCCTGCTTGTGCTGTGATATTCAGGACTGCAAACCGAGCAGCATTCACTAATTTTCAACTTGTTGTTTTTTTTTAATATATCACTGACTTTAATTATCCATTAAAATTATCACATTCTCTGTAAGATTAAGGTCAACTACTGAACGGCATATATTTTAAAGTAAAGGCTTTAAAATCAAGCTGACGCTGAAAGTACTAACATCACTAATGCCACATAACTTTGCCGACATGTGGCCAACAGTAATGTTTTAATGTTCTTCATTATTAAACATTTGCACATAAATAAGTGACATCATATTCAGTACTGTTGAAAGTTTAGTCTTCGGCTGCCCCACTTCAGCCGTCTGTAGTGATGTGCGGATCGATACTGAAATATCGATTGCTGCGATACCAGTCATTTATGTTCTAGAATCGATTCTCATATTAAAATATCGATATTTTAGTAATTTAGGGTAAATTTGTAGTTTATCTTTAACAGGAACAGAGTGGAAAGAAACTATATTATTCGGATTGTCTACATTGGAAGGAACTACTTCCTATTCCACTTTTAATAGTCATGTGCGAAATAGGGCTTTATAAATTTGTGGCAGCCCTTTGGCATGCGCACTCACAACAATAGCTGGGCGTAAATGGAGTCATGTGCGGACATATTTTACCTCCAAACAGTCAAGACAGGGTTTGCGCCAAGATAGTGAGGTGTTGTGGCTACACCATTTACCTCGTCAAACACCTCACTGTAAATCATATCACAGAATATAATGAGGTATGTTGAGGCAAACTGATAAGGAGGAGAGGAGAGGGGTAGGTGCTGCTAGGGCGAGACAGACGTCTCTCGCGGAGTCCTTTAGTGCTGCAGTCAGGCAACATGCTCAAATGGCACACAACTTCAGTTTTTTTTATTTCTATATGACAATTCTGCATTATTATTATTATTAAGTGATAAGAACAAGTAACCTGACGTCTTGTAATCATGATGAAGCTATAATTTGAGATACAATGAAAGATATCAGATCAGTATCGCCGATACCACTCTGAATTTTACTTGGTATTGGATCGGAAAGGAAATCAGTGGTATCGCACATCACCAGCCGTCTGCCGTATTTTTCGGCAAAATCCACCACACCCACCGCTGCGCTATGAATTGTGGGATATATGGGACCACGAAGTCTACACCAGACCACACTTCAAATTTGGGGAAATCGACGGCGCATTTGTCGACCGCAAACTAAAAGCAAACTTTTCTTTTAGTTTGTGTAAACTAAAAGCAAAGTTGTCACCAAGTACTGTTTATATTTGTGTGTATTGCTGCAGCTTTTTTAAGTATTAACTTGGTGCCTTTGGGTGAAATAATGGTAATATGAGGGACTGATCCAAACGGTCACAAAGAATAGCCACTTGTTTCTGTGCTACCAAAGTTACCCGGCTTTCATTCAAAATGTGTTTATCGTCAGCACCTACAAATTAAACTACTTAAACATTATAAATGGCTTCAAGCTCACACTGAGACTTGTGGACCACTATCAGCCACTGAGACAGTAGACACATTTATGTGTTTGTTTTTTTTATATGAATATTTCATACTTTAAGGCTGCCTGTTTATTTAAAGGAGATGAACAAAATACATTAGAATTGTACATAATGATATCATAGATGATAGATTAAATAAATAGATTTTAAGTAGATGCTTGTGCATTCTTGAAGTCTTATATGTTGAATTGAATTATGTGCTTACCTTGAGACTACTGTGTGTGTGCGTCTATTGGAGCGTGCTTCGGCATCCTCCGTGGACGATGTATTTCTCCCTTCTTGGTCCCCTGGTAGCCCCGGTTTTCCCCTGGTATCCCTTAGCTTGGTTCCCCCTAGCTGGCCCTTGCTTCCCCTTGGTTGGTCCCCCTTCCCTGGCATGTCGCCGCGAAAAAAAACAGGCTTATGCGCCGGTCGGACCATGCTGTGCAGCTGCCGGCTAGCGAGTAGCTCGGCTACAGTGAGGAAACACAGCAGGGACACGGCTTCAACATTCAAACATACCCTGTCGCTTGGCACTGTGCGGCTCGGCTGCTATGTGTGTTAACACTGCTACTGCTGCAGCTGCAGACTGTGTTTCCCTGGCGTACTGCCAGCGCTTCGCCGGTTTACGCACCAGCTGGACCTCGCTGTGTCTGATGCTCAGCCAGCGAGTGAATTAAAATCCCAAGATTAACAATTTTCTACCATATTAATCTGTCTTATTTGCAACAGAGTTGTGTTTTACTGCTATATTTTTTCTGGTCTTTATGAAATTGTAGACGACATTCTGTCATCATTATGATCAGATAATGTCTCTGACCACCAAGGATCATTTTGGGCAAAACCCCACTCTTTGAATGCAAGGGCCAGTCAGCAACCAACTGCTGTTCACTTAACCTAATCCTAACAGGTTACATCCAGTTAAGCATGCCAATCCAAGTTGTTCCTGTGGTGTGGCCAATGTGCATGTTGCAGCTTGTGGAGGCCCACAAGGTTTCATTATTGATCCAATCAAAGCTGAAAATCTCTAAATGAGTCTTTCACAAGAGCCTAAGAAATATTAGAAGCATCTCATTTCCTGCGTGATCTTAATCGATTCATGCATTCAAAGTGCCCTGTTCACCCACAGGGTGGGAAGAGCTGCTGTTGATTCTTCTCACAGGAGAGGTGAAGTCTAACGTAATCTGATTAGACCCTGGCTCACTGCCTGCTGTTTGTACAGTATTGTTTTTCTTCTGCTGCCAACTGAAACTTTGATAGCTCTTCCAAATAGCTTTGGATCCCAAATTTACAGAAAGAGGAATATGGTAATTGCATTACTGTGAAGAATAAAAAATTTGAAATGGAAGATTAATGGCCTTTTAGAAAGTGCCTGCTGCACATGTAGGATTACTCTTGTACCTCTGATTCTCAGTAGTATCACTTGATCTTGGTTGGAAAAGTATGTGCAGATCTGCTTTAATTTTCAGGGTATTCCCTTGCCAGCCCGACTTGACAGACAACAACAGAAGGAACAGTGGGTGGCATGTTCTTTGATATATCTGTGACAATCACAGAATGCAGGATATACTGAAGGGAGCAGACGCAATGCTGGATAGAAACACAAAAAAATATTACTGAATTCTGCTGAACGTCACTTTTTTTAAAAGTTTGTTTTAAATAGGTGTGTAATAAACAGTGATGCTTAGTGATCTTTAGTAAAAAGAAAGACATCAGAGAACATGTCCTAGCTTTTGAGTTTTGTGCATTTAGTTTTAATTATTTGAATATTAAATGATAAGGACCAGTGAGTGCAAGCTTTCTTTTATAAGTGACCAAGGGGCCTCCGTACTGTAGGGGTCGTAGCCATTTTTGTTTTGCGGTTGAGGAAATAATGGATAGGTTGACTGTGATTTTATTCCTAACATGAGCTAGCCTCAGTGTGGTTTGTATGTACAGCACCCGGCCTCTCTCTAGTTGCTTGCTTTCACCTCGCCCTTGTGATTAGATCTGTTAGTAGACATATTGTTGCCCTTTGCACCAATTTTCATTCCCCATTCCCTGTTTTTTTGCCTCTTTAGTGGATCCCTTGTTGGAGGCTCTGAGCCTACACATTTCCCCTGCTGGGCTACAGTGGACCAGCAAGGGAAACGGATGGATGCTGGATCTGTTGGGTGGGATTGCAGGGGGGGAGGTTGAGTGGGTGGTTGTTGGCCCTGCTGTTGCTCCTGGGTATCTAACCTGGTGGGATTGAACTTTACCTGTATTGCTTCTTACAATTTTTTATAATGTATAGCAAAAGCCTAGCCGATTCAAACATAAGATTCATAATGACTGTATTTATGCAAAGGAAATTAGGGCTTCCTATAGGTTTTGGGGGTTATTTGGGATGGTGGTGGGAAGTCATATCTTATGGCATGTGGAGGGTAGTGATGAGTTGATTCTCCCCTGCCCCACCTGCCTTCCAATCTAATGTAACTCAGTGATCCCTTTGCACACTTAGGTGGGGCTCACACAAAGAAATAAAAATTTGTCAACTAGAATAATATACGTAATTAGCTATAATAATTTATAGATGTTCCCCAATCGAGAAATTGGTGGACATACTGTACCTGGATAAATATTTTGTCCTCATCTGTATATCATTTCTATCTTTCTCAATATTCCTAATATTCATCTCTCCTTTCTTTTCTTTCTGTTTCTCCCTTGCTTTACAGCGGAGCCATTCACGCCACTCTCCAGGGATTCATCTAGCTGTATGTACATTCTGCCAAACAGTATTCTTCTTTACTGCTATTGACAGTATGGTTAATTTATAGGCTCAGGCTTGATGGACTCTTAAAATCAGTGCTATAGGAACAAATCCAGAAACTCTGATGTTACCATCAAGACTTACACTGACACACGTGTAGGTCAGTGTAAGTCCTGTGGAATTAGGTCATTGGAATTATCATGTGAAACACGATACATTAACCTGATATATATTAAGTCCTGCTTTAAATTTGTCTCAGCAGAGTCTTAGCCAAAATGTGTTTCACTCATTAGGTAGTTCTGATTGAAACTACTCAGTTTATTTTACTTTGCATAGGTTAGGGTAGAAAAACACAATTATCCCATGAAACATACTTATGGTTAAGTATACAGAAATTGTCTGAAAACATGCTTCAGTTTTCCTGGTCAAACTTGGAAGGAGATATGTTTAGTTTCAAATAATAAAGCTATTACAAAGAAAAGAAATCCCTATTGTTAGCCCCTCCATGAATCGCTATCTTATCATGGTGGAGGGGTTTGTGTGACCCATGTTCTCGGGGGTTTCTGTAGGGGTTGGATGTATTATGTGTTAAATGGTGGACCGATTCCTCCGTACTGAGACTACCTTTTGGGACATGGGATGTCACCTCTTTGGTGGGGAAAGAGCCTGAGTAAGTGCATGAGGTCAAGAGGTACCAGTTAGATATACAGGGAGTGCAGAATTATTAGGCAAGTTGTATTTTTGAGGAATAATTTTATTATTGAACAATAACCATGTTCTCAATGAACCCAAAAAACTCATTAATATCAAAGCTGAATGTTTTTGGAAGTAGTTTTTAGTTTGTTTTTAGTTTTAGCTATTTTAGGGGGATATCTGTGTGTGCAGGTGACTATTACTGTGCATAATTATTAGGCAACTTAACAAAAAACAAATATATACCCATTTCAATTATTTATTTTTACCAGTGAAACCAATATAACATCTCCACATTCACAAATATACATTTCTGACATTCAAAAACAAAACAAAAACAAATCAGCGACCAATATAGCCACCTTTCTTTGCAAGGACACTCAAAAGCCTGCCATCCATGGATTCTGTCAGTGTTTTGATCTGTTCACCATCGACATTGCGTGCAGCAGCAACCACAGCCTCCCAGACACTGTTCAGAGAGGTGTACTGTTTTCCCTCCTCGTAAATCTCACATTTGATGATGGACCACAGGTTCTCAATGGGGTCCAGATCAGGTGAACAAGGTGGCTGTTGTAAAGGCTCACCTTTCAGCACATTCACTTCACCAGATGCACCTTGTTTCTTTTCCTCACCTTTGATTGGGTGTGGTGCTTGGCCTTAATTGCACTCACCTGTCACTCGTTATATAAGGACTGCACTCACCTACCCCTCACTCACTCCCACATGGGGCGGCAGCTGAGGTGAGTTTCTCTTTGAGTCTCCTGAGTTCATGTATCATTTTGAGTTACTTAAATCATACTTTATGTCCTTTTTAGAGAGAGCAGTCCATGTGTGTCTTTCTTTCCTTTACCTGTTATACAATAAAACGACAAAACCTGCAAATGACGACTGCTTATTCTCATTCTAATCCGATGAGCCCATGATGATGACTACTGAAACCCTGAACCTTCCTTCCTCCAAAACATGGTCCTCCGAGCCAGAGTGGTATTAGCGTCATGGATTCAAAGCAGCCATTGACTGAAGGTTTGAGAAGATCCAGTCGTGATAGTCGACCTCCTGCCTACCTGCAGCAGTATGATGTTCAGTATCCTGGAGCTAGAAGAGCTACATGTGAGACAGAGAGTCAAACAGAATGCCAGCATAGTGACACAGACACACATGGGCTGCAAGATCCTGTCGGAGAGTCAGAAAGACAACCAGAGACATCCCCTGCTCCTTTACCCACCAACCAAGATGAGGTCATGAGGGAACTCCTGATGACAATGAGGGAGATTAGGCAATTCATGATTCAGTTATCTCCTCCCCATTCTCGCAGTTCCTCCAGATCTTCAATTCACACTGTCTCTGATGAAAGCAAATCCTCTGTTTGCGGTTTACAAGCCATTCCCCAAACACATCAGCAACATGAGCAGTTCCCAGTGATTGATCCAGCAACATGTCAGTCACCCTCTCAGCCCCCCCAGGTTAGCCGTCACTCTGGTGCAGTTCTGGCTGCTAGCCCTCCTTTCCCTAATTCAACAATATTAGATGCTGCAGTTCCTTCAAGTGGTTTGCCTAGACCAGTTTTTCCTACACCAGATGAGACTCCTTTTAATTTCCTGGCCACACCACTGCAAGGTCCCCACCAGATTTCATGTGTTCAACCTGCTGTTCATCTAGATGAAGACCCCGCTCAACCTCTTGTCTGCATTCCGGAACCAAGGCAGCACCCTCCTGTAAAGCAGCAACCAGCTACATCTGATGGTTTGCATGCACAAAACCCTTCAGTACCCATTACTGCTAGTTCTAGTCACCCTGTTAGCACTAGAACACATGTGTATAAGCTTGAGGGTCCTTCTTTCCCAGACCTTACCAGAGAAGATGAAATCCAGTATAGGCTGTTACGAATGGCCCTTACTAACCTGCTTGACCCTCATGAGACAGAGCATTTCAAATATCATGTCCTTCTCGATCATCTGAAAGTAGACCAAGCTAAACGGTTAGCTATTTCCTTTTCCTATGCTCCTGACCCATACACTCAAGCCACCAAAGCTCTTGATGAGCGTTATGGGCAACCAAGACAGCTGGCATTGAAAGAGCTAAAGAATATACTGGAACTGCCTCCTATCAGAGCAGGTGATGGTCAGAGTCTTGATAATTTTGCTCTTCGTGTACAAGCTTTAGTTGGTTTGCTTAGCACTATGGGTGATCAAGGACGGACAGAACTAAATTGTGGCTCCCATGTCGATCGCCTACTTGAAAAGTTGCCCGCAGAGCATTCCAGTCGCTTCAAACGGCACATTTACAGGGAACAAGGAGATATGATGTATGACTTACCTTTGTTCTCATCCTGGCTGCAAATGGAATGCAAGTGTCAACCAAGAAAGGACAGTCCTGTTTCATCCTCTAACCAGCCACGACCTGCCCATAAGTACACCTCTCCACTCACAACAATATTACATGGGACAAATGCATCCGATCCTGTACAGGCAGCACAACCCATCATAATGACTAAGGCAAGATGTGCATATTGCCGCTCACCTGAACACCACATTAGTAAGTGTCCCGAGTTTATTCAGAAGACAAAGGATGAGAAAATAAACTGGATAAAGACAAACAAACGGTGTTGGCATTGTGCTAGAACTCATCAGGCTGCGAAGTGTGATCTGAGGAAAGCATGTGCCACCTGCATGGAAAGACATCTACAGATCCTATGTGAGGTGAATCAGAGACCTAGAACTGAAACTAATCCTGTAGTGAGGACACTGTACTTTGATAGACCTAGCGATCGCCCTAGTGTCCTTTTAAAGGTTGTGAAAGTGCTCCTGCG